AAAAATATAGCTGATGTAGTGAAAATTTATTAAAAAAAGAAGTTAATTATGCTGTTAACTAGTGGAAAATGAAAAGGATTATGCTTAACTTTTAAGCTGATGCTCTTGAGGAACTTGTGCCACTAAGCTTTACCTGGAGTCCCATGATGTGAATGCAATGATGAACTCTGCTGTAGCCTGCAGTTTCCTAGGAGAGACAGTAACTAACCCCTAGCATAAGATTCACCAGGAGCACAGAGAGATGTCAGAGCACCTTGTGTTAGTTGTTTCCAGTATGTTTCCAGCTTTATTTTTTATTTCCTCTTGAGGTTAGATTAGCCAATAAGTAGTCATCATACAGATTGTTTATTTAATGTGTCCTGATGTTACTGTTACTGCTAAAATAAGTCTGCCTTTTTTATCTAGTACTCTTCCTCTCAAGTCTTGTCTCTTTGTCCTTTTCTTTTTATATTTTTGTCCTCTCCTCTTTCCTTTTTTTCAACTTGTTTTTCTCCCTCTGCTAATTTTTCCTTGACATGTTTCTTTCAAAGCCTCTCTTGCTTCTCTTTCTCTCTCCTCTTCCATATCACCAGCTTTTTTTCCTGTTTCCTTACCTGCTTTAGAGATGTGGTCAGGAGCAATCATCAAGTGGGGCTGAAGCGTTGTCTTTCTAGAGCTGGCAAACTTCTACTGAGAGAGACTTTTAATGTGGGAGTTGTTCTCACAACTAACTACATTTAAAAGCTATGATGGAAGTAAGGATCTGTAGCTCATTTTCAGTGTTTAGGGGAGAGGGAGGATCTGACAAAGTCTATTCTTCTTACTCTACTGAGTTGAGGCAAGCTCATGCTACCTAGGTGGGGAAAAAACTTTGGTAAAGACAAATTCTGAATGCCACACAGCTTTTCTGGGGGTTAGGAATTACAGAAATGAACCGTCATTACAGTAAATCAAAAGGATGTTCATAGGAAATCAGAATACCTGTGCTCTGCCATGACTTTGAAAAAATTGTAAATTTTGAGATAATTCCAAGCTGGTAAAGTCTTAATTTAAGCAACAAATACAGAGGAGCACAGACGTATCTTTTAATGCTTTTCTTTTATTCAGGCTAAGCATTTTTTTGTTCTGTTGTACCTTTGTATCATTTTGCAGCACCTGCACCCCATCTGGATTTTCTTTAATCTGAAAAGAGAGAGAGGGAAAGCAAGGGAGAGGGCAAATGAGTGAAGCAATATGAAATTAATGCATGGCCAGTTGCATTGACAATGATGTTCATGTTTAGAAGGGTTTTATTGGTTAAAAAGAGATTTCTACCCGAGTGATCAGTGAAGTACAATTCACGGTCTTTCTAGGTTGCTATCTTGCGTTAACAATAGCCTTTGGATGACATCTGGGGAAGAAGTTAAGGTCTTAAGCATGTAATGGTGTTCTCCCATACTAATTTCCTAGCCTCCCGCAACTTGGTGGCTTGGAGCTTCGTAAGTCAGGGTGTAGTGTTTCTGTATTTGGTAGCCATTGACTTTTTTCCCATGAATTTGTCCACTTGTTTTCTGAACTCAGTTCAAATATTAGTATCCATAACATCCTATAGTGAGGATTTTCACAGCTCAGCCTTGCCGTGTGTGAATAACTACCCACTTTTGTTTGATATGAACCTGTTTCCTGCTGGCAGTATTTGGTGCCTTCTAGTTTTTGCGTTAGAAGAAACGATGAGCATTTGTTCCTGTTGTCACTCTATTACAGATCCTGTACTCCCCCTTCAGCTATGTTTTTCAGCCTGAGGAATCCTAGCCTTTTTAAATGTTTCTCGTACTGACACTGTTTCATGCCTTTGGATGGTCCTTGTCATCCTTCTCCAGATCTTATCTGTTTCTATGTCCTTCTTAAATGAGGGGTGGGAACTGCAAATGCAGAGTTTTCAAGATTTGTGGAACCACAGATTTATTCTTTCTGGCCCTGTTCAGTTGGCTCTGAGGTGACATTGCTCATAGGGCTATCTCTTATTCCTCTGGTTAGACAAAGACATATTGCTGGGATTGGTACTTTATTATGTACAGTGCAAGTGTTGCACCTGAATTTTACTAAAGTAAATTCTTCACAGTTTGACTAGAGCTATCAAACTGCTGCGTTTTACTATGTGTCTGTGTGTTGCGAGGTTTCTGTGTATGTGTGTTGTTGCCTGATTTAGTGAGTTTCTAAGAACCACCTGTTATGTGGTTTGTGTAACACTGAAGTCTTTTATTATGAACAGAAATAGCTTGTTAATTTGGCCCTTGAGAACTTTTATTTGCTGAACCTAAAGTGAAGACACAGATCTGAACCTCCCAAATCCTTGAAAAAACATTCTTCTTAATTTTATCGGTTAGGGCTATCTTGGCTCATGTTAATGGAGCCAGGATGAGTCGTAAATCTCTTTTACCTGTTGTTATTCAGGCCTCTCTATTTCTCGATATGTTCTGCAACTTCACGAGCTTTTGCCGTTGCCTAGGGACAGCAGCTCCCTTCCCAGTAAGATGGAAATTGATGATGCAAGGTCAGGGTATTTACTAGAGTGATTTATTCACGATACACCAAAGGAAAACAGTATTGATTTATTCTTACCAAGCGTGGCCTGAACTGTGTGCCACTGGTTGTGCAGAAATTACAATCAAAGCTCTACACAGTACAGGCTTATTATCCCACTTTTTTCCTCTAAATCTGACTTCCTCTGGTGTCAGCAGTGAACATAATGCATGATGGCAGGTCCCTTCAGTCCTAGAGCCTCTAAGGGGCTTGGAGCCACTCAGCAGCTGGCTTTAGCTAGGATATAGCTGCTTATAGCTATGCTCTTTGTCCTTGGCCGCACCTGAAGTGCTCTGGAGCAGAAACTTCCCTAAAGAGGAGCCAGGTGTTGCAGCTTGGTGCCTGTCAGGACGGCCTGTATGCCAACTGCTTTGCTTCCTCTCTGTCTGGGGGTTCTCTCCCTCCTTGCAATGCATTCTCTCTTCTACGCCTCTGCTGCTTTTATTTTTTTTTAAACTAGAAAATATGATAGCAGAAATTTTCATGCAGAGTTTTTCTTTTGAAGACTGTGCAAGAATAACTGGTTGAAGTGGCCACGTGTGCTGACCGACCGTATGTGCAGTTGCTCTGCAATATAAAGGAATTTGGACATGTTTGGCTAGATATGAGGCTTATTTGAGCTGGCTCATTGTGGCGCCTATCACTCATGCAGTCATCCTTGCCAGACAAAGAGGAATTCTTAATATAACATGTTTTGATCATTCTGAAGGCTGAATTAGCTATAGCCCTTCTTCAGTTAAGACTGATTTGAAGCAAATTCAGTTGAGCTATGCCCTGTGTGGACACTGTTGTTTTGGTTTAGCTGACATATTTAGTTTTAGCATAAACCTTCTTCTAAACTGGAAGAAACTAAAAACTACTTAAAATTGACCAGCGAGTTAATTGATTCAGCCTTCAAGTGTCTGTGGTTAACAAGTTACCGTATGTTAGGCAAGCTACAATAACTGTATCTGGGATCTCAATTCATGGGAAAGGCAACATCATTTGGTTTAGGTTCAGTCTCCTTCTTTAAAGGCTTAGGTAAGCTACAGTAATTCTTACCTGCCATAGGCTAGGAGTATGCAAACATTATTTCAGCTCTGCTAAATAATGATAACTTCAATTGCAGTCAGTTGCCTCCTGAGCCCACTGAAATGTCCACAAAGCCTCTGGCTTAGCTTTAAAAGTTACAGTTTTGGTGAAACCACTCCAGGTTTGTATGTAGATCAATTCTGAGAACAGTTGCTGTTTCTAGCTGGGTGCAGTCACTTCAGGTCAGGCTTTTTCTGTTTAATCTTTTCTCTGACAAATTTCATACTGAGTGCTGCTATCCGTGCTGCATAACACTTTTTCGATTTAAAAAAAAAAAAACTTACTTATAGGTTTTAACCATTGGGAAGTGCTAATTGCTTGCTTTCCTCTGTTTGTTTGTAAAGAGGTTAGTGATCTTTGTAGAAAGCAATTATAAATGGAAATTACTGTTATTATTTTCATAAGGAGCACTTTCCTGTTTGTGTGTGGGTTTTTTTTTTTTGTATTTACTGTTTGAATCGTCTCTGTGGCTACTGTATTAAGCTTTTCAGCTGATTAGTTATAGTTGGATTTGTCCTCTGGCATGAATAAACTAATACTTATGGAAAGCATTTTATGCTATATTATCTTATAAATTATTTCACATCCCTCAAGTAGGAATAGAGTTTTATGATGTCACTGTTAGAGACTGTTGTTCCTTGTCCTTCTCTCCCACGTTTATAACACGCTTTCAAGCCAGGGTTGGAAAATAACCCTGGGGAACAAGTTACTTTTACAGCATGAAAAGGCATGCTTTACTCCTACTTATTTTGTCTTAGGTACTTTGCTCTAAAGACTTGTGTATTGTGTGATCTTCATGGTTCCATTAAAAAATAAGTAGTATTAATAAGCTCCTATCCGGAGTTTGAATCAAGCATATGCTACGCAGACTCATTTAAATAGAGGGCATGGGGGAGGGTTTGAAGGTTGAAAAAATAGATAATGATGTTATCTGAGATTGAAGTTAGGAAGAGTAAGATGTTGCAGCCTTTATGTTGCTCTAACTTCTTTTTTTTTTCCCTTTTTTATATGCTGTTTATTCTGTTAAATATGCTATGCTGCTAGATTTTCTAGATATTTTCATATTAACAAGACAGGACTTAAGCGCTGCTTTGCAGAGCACTGGAGGCTAGCTCCAAAATAGAGTCTGCTTGTCTAAAGTAGCAGTAAAATGCTTGACCTTAACATTTAGATCCTCCAAATTCCGGTCAACGGCCATTAAACCTAGGCCGTTAAACTATTCTTTCTCAGTCATGAAATTCCTCTAGGCCTGTAAATTTCTGTCACTGGTTATTGTGCAGTCACTTAATTCTGGACATCAACACAGCACTTAGCCTTAAAGCTCTACTAAAATTCAAGGTATAGATTTTTGTCTTTCTAGACATATCCTGGAACGCTTGGAGCTTTTGCAGGAAATGGAGCTATCAGGAAAGAGGAATATGGGAGGCCTAGGTTTAAAATGCTTAATTTTGAGCTCTGACTTTTCAGCTTTGAGTAGCCACTGAATCTTCTAGAGTGTGTCTGTGAGGCTGGGCTTGTACCAGTTTCTATAAAATAATCAGATTCTTGGAGCATGAGAGAGAAGTAGGACAGCCTTTGTGGTTTGCACATTCAATGTCAGTACTTCCATCAGTTAAAATATTTTGCTTTGATGAAAGAGATGAAGAGGCTCAACTCTGTGTATGGTTCCCTCAGCCACTGCAGTAATCCTTTAGTTGCTAGTGCGAAAGACGATCTAGTTATGATTTCCTTGTAATACATTAGAATAAGTGTTTACAGAGATCAGTAAAATCTGATATTACAAAAGAGTGACTCTCTTTCTTCCTTTGAAAGAAAAAGAGATGGAAGAGCATCTATTTTAAAATCAGTTGGAAAAAATGCCCCTATGGTTATTACGGAGGTAGTAAGTGGATTTAATTTGAGGAGAGCAGAACAACAATCCACTCAGTAAAACAAATGCTGAAAATGAGGAGGCTGAGGAGTAAAGTCCCTTGTTAGATGATTTTATGTTGGCACCCAGTAAGAGAATGGAATGGGACTTTTCTAGAAGTGTGAGATCTTGCTAAGAACAACAGGAATGTATAATGTCTGGCTCCAAAAAGTAAGTTTGCTTTAAAAGCCATAATGTGCTTTAAGAGAAGTCTACTGTCCTTTATCAGATTTGAGAAACACAACATATCTGACTTTAAATTATATAATACAGTAGCTTGTATTGTCTATTTAAACTGTTGCTGTATTATGGATAAACAAAAGACGAACGTTATGAATAGGGAAGGGCAAAATTAGTGAAACAAAAATGGTTTGACAACCTTTCTCGACACTCTTGTAAGTTTACAGGGAAACAGAGAAAGGCCAATCTCCTTTTTGGTCTTGTTCTTGGTGTGTTGGTTTCCCTTCAGTCTTGATTTCTGCCCCACTCTGTCCTCCCAGTGTAGAAGCAGAAAGGTGAAGGCACAACATATTTAAATGGTATTTGCAGTAAGTCTCAAATTCCTTTCAATCCTGGCGGGGGACTTTTGCTGTGAATCACTTTTTTTAAGGTGGTTGATTTCTGTCTCCCCCACGTTCTCATCCAGAATTGGTGCTTCATGAGCTTTTGCTGTTTCTTTGGTTCCTCTCTCTCCTCCTCTCCTCTAGATTACAAAGTAAAGCGTTTTTTTCTATGTATGTATTATCTGGGCTGCTAAGCCTGAATGCTGCATCTCCTAGTGGCCTGTGGCAGCTCTTTCTGCTCGTTTTTTTTCAAGCAGAGGCTCCAGTCAGACCAGACCCTGCCAGCCTGTGCCCCGTCAGTCGGCTGCGTTGTGCCCTCCTGAGTGAAGCGTATCTGCCTGCAGGGTACCAGACTGAGGGTCCATCTCCCCCACGATGGACATAAACCCCTCTCTCATCAGAACGGATTCCATCTGCCTCACTGTTAACGCAAACACAATTTTCTTAAGTTTTCTTGCTACCAAGGTCTCATACAGGTGCCAAATGCTAACCAGCTAGGAGACACTCACAGAAGCAAAGGTGGGAAGAGTAAAGTGTCTGCAGAGAAATATATAAGGATGGAATATAAAGAATTTGGGGTGGGAATAACCTGAGACAGCTCTTGCGCTTGGCAGACTTCTCCTGCTGGGAGGTGGGGTGTGCCTTCTGTGCTGAGTAGGCACTCGCACCTCTCCTAAAGCTTTCAAAGGCTGTCCTCAGCATCTGCCAAGGTCGGAGAAAGAATCGGGTGTGCCTAAATGAAGGGGAGGGAAGTGCAGTATATTACTGAGGGGTGGTGGCAGAGCAACAATTGATCTGGATGACAGGTGATATAAAAGAAACATGGAAAGACTGTGGGACAGATGGCAGAGCTGAGGAGAACCAAAATTAGAAATTTAGGGAGCTATTAAACATGCAGTAGAAAAAAACCACCCTATGGCAGAGAGGGGAGAGGAAGAGTAACAGGGAAAAGATTGTAAAGGAAACAAGAAAAGGGATCTAGTTTAGTTAGCCATACAACACACTGACTAATCCTACTGTTAGGTGACTATCATCCATAAAAAGTGTTTCACTGTGCCTAAAATAGCAGGTTCTGAGGAGTTTTTTGTATTCCTGCATCCAAAGCAAGCACCCCACTAACTATGCTGAGACCAGAGGTAATGAGTCTATCATTTCCCCCCCCGCCCCCACCCCACCAGCAAAGGGAGAGAGCTAAAAAAAAAAATCCTGGGCCCAGCATCCATCCTGCTAATCCATTATGGAGTCTGAAACCAGCTGATGAAAGGCTGTGGAGCTGATGGTTCAGTGTCTTCTGAAAACAAATTACTTTTTAACAAGCTTCCAGATCATGTGTACTCCTGTGTCTGAAAGTTATAATCCAGTTTTGCTGCAACAGTCAAATTTAGCCTATAGGTGACAGCCACAAAACTGTGAAGAATTCTACTACCTAGAATGTCAGATCTTTTTCAGTGAGTCTCTAAATTCTTTGGCAACTCTTGTCTTAGCGCAATTGTTATGGAGGCAACAATTTGATAACAAGTCTGTGTTTAACTCTGCAATAAGACTGATGCTTTTAAAGCTGGACTGAAGTCTATGTAATTCCTTTTTTCTAATGGATTTTTAGTCTGAAAATTGTCAAAATAGGGCTTTAGGGAGCAACTGGATTGTCATATATAATCTAAAATAAATCAGCTAACTTGAGGAAATATGATAATATACTCATTTAGAGAAACTATAAAAACCAGCCTGAAGGTTTTTTGTCTATTTTTTCTGTAGCTTAATTGACTTCAGACTTTTTGTTCACACTTTCTTAGGGTGTAACGCTTATGTGTCATTTTCACGCTTTAAACATCTTGCTGTCCAGCCCTGGTGAAACTACCTAGCTGTGCAATCCCTGTGCGAGAATGTGAGCTGTGGTTTGGCTCCGAGTCACAGTTCAGTCCCTGCTGTCTACACTACTCTGTAAGAGAGAGAAAATGTGCAAGTGTTTTTCCTGGTGCAGCTTGCTTTCTCCTCCTGTTCTGAGGCAGGCATGCACTATATTTGGGAACAAGGGGTGTCAGAGTGTCTGCCAGAAGGAGCCTTATGCTATCCTCCTGCCTAACACAAGGTTATTGCCAAGGTTGTAGTTGCCTGTCCTTCCCTTTGTTACTCCTCCCCCTCAAATGTGCTCTTTTTATTTACTTTACAAACAAAGCTGGGGAGCTGCTCAGGTCTACCAGCCATTGTTACTCTCCACCGAGGCCTCATTTACCAGCTGATCTGTTTGCCTGCTTCTCCAGCACAGCTAACTGCAAACATGAGAAAAGTTGACACAGAAGGGGGACCTGTCCAAGATCATATCGACCTCCTTCAGCCGCAGTAGAACTACAGAGGTGACTTTCGAGAGTTTAACCTCAGCTGTTTGACTCCCGTTGCCACTGTCTGCTTGTTCATTTTCAAATCAGATCTCTGTTTTTTCACAGATAAATGTCATCATTGCATGAATACAAATAAGCCTTCTTACACTGTCTTCACCTGTTGATAACAATCTGTATATATTTTCGGAAGACGATTCTTTGTTAGAATTAAAAGGGAGGGAATTGTGCAATGCAGGAGACTGCACAGTTATATTTATGATGAGGGCTTTCTGAAAAAGTATGATCAAAAATGCCATTTTTCTCTTTTGCAAGAAGATATTCACAATTCCTTTGCTCTGATATTTTTCCATTTTTTTCTAACAATACAAAATATGCTTTATGGCTTATGTCTGCCAAAATCCCAACTTTTTCTGAAAATTATTTGATTACATTTCTTAAAACCATTTCATATTACGAAGAAAGTTTTACTCAGAAAAATTAAAATCTGAGTACAGTTAAATGACATGGCATATACTAACTGTACGTATGACCTGCTGTCATCCAAAGTTATCCCAATCATCTGTGCTTAGAGAACCTTTTGAAATCTCTGACAAGCCCCCCATGGATTTGTTCGGATTTCTCTTAAATACTCACATCCTCATTACGACACTTTATCACAGGAAAAAGGAACCGCAACATATGTTTCTTTCCCTCCCTCTCCCCTTTTTTCTCCCTGGCCATGCTAAATCAAGCCAATAGATGATACGTTGGTCAAGGCAGTGGCCTGATTCTTTATGTGTTTCTGTGACTGAAATGGCAAGCTTGTGGATGATATTACACAACTAGTGCTAGTTATACTCCGTGTACAGACAATGGCTGTTTGTTTCCGTGAGGGAAGAATTTGATGTATTTTGTCTGCTATTCAAGGCATGAAGTTTGAGGTTGTTTTTGTGTGTAGGGGCTTAGGGGTATTATTTATGATTATTCCAAGTGAAGTCTTGAAACAGATTTAGATTCATGGTAGTTTTTTCAAGGGAGAAAAGTAGCTTTAACCAGGGCGGGTATTAAAACTGGAGATTCTCATGCCTGAGAATTGTGCCTTGCTTGTTATCTGAAAATTTATAGGACTAGCTCAGCTATGGCTTCATAAATTTTGATGCTTAATATTCTGACATATAGTAGTTCTTTTATTCTCAAGGAAGTAGCTCTGGTGTCACAAAATATTTTTACTTCAGTAAGGTAATAAATGACAGGAATCCTTAAGTGACAAAGCTGTACAAGCAGTCACAGGAAAGGAAAAACAAAGCAAGTGACGCTTACACAGAATTGTTTCCAACTGGCTTACCCTCACACTTTCCAAGAAATTACAGACCAAAGTGATTTAATATTAAGAAACACGCACTAACAAACACTACACTTGCCTGATGAGCAATCAGTAAAACGTCAGCTAATCGCCAAACTATGGCCTGCTCATCAAATAGCCGATGGGAGTTGTGTTGTCACGGTTTTAACATCTGTTTGTGTGATGACGTCTGAAAATGTTTGATGTATTGTTTGTGCAGGAAATTTGCTCTAATAATTGACAAAAATGTGTGCTAGCTGTGCTCTTCATTCCAGGATCTCAACATCAGCAGTAAGTAGACATTAATTATAGTATACATGAAGTAGCACAAATTGAGGGTTATATCCTTGGATTGTTCATAACTGCGTCCAAGGGAGAGTGCAGCCTCCTAGCTGAGAGGTGTGTCTACTGTGCAGGAGTCAATTATGTGCTCTAATTGTGAGTGCGTGCTGTGGCATTTCTCAACACCGGGGAAAAGCATCCTGCCCAGCTCCGATCTGATGACAAACTGCTCTGAGTGCCAGGTTGCTCAGAGCAATGGATATATCTGCTTACGTTTCTGTTCCCATCCAAAGAGATGAAAAAGGTCAGATGTGGCTTGACTATGTTGATATTACAAAAATATGTGCTTATTAGCTTATATTTGTAGTTCTAATATGAGGAAACTCTATCAAATACTACTGCATGCCAGTGCAAATCTTAGCTGGAATAGGAAGCATTTGCTTTAGTGCAAGCATCAGAAACTGTTCCCTTTCTTCACAGCTGCTCCCCTACCCCAAGGCATCTAGCTACACTTTTTGTCAGGTCCCGATGGTATTTCTGCCCCCAAGTTGCACCTTTTCTCTCTTTTCTCGTGTGGCTATTTTGCCCCAGACGAAGATGCAGTGGCAAGTAGATCTCAGTGCAAGGAAGTCTGAGCCTTGCCTGCACAGCTCAAGCACACCTGCACTTGTTATTTGCAGGTGTGTTGGCAGAAGGGGAACATAATGAAAAGCAGATGCTATCAGTTTTGCAAAAGGCGTTTTGTTTTAGGTTGTAACTGTTGGTTATTGCCTAAGTTGATCTTCTGCAAAACACAGTAATATTCATAGTTATGTTCAGTCCTGTTAGCTTCTCCTCAAAATGTCCTGCTTTCCAAACCAATAAGGTCAGCCAGATCTTCCACTTACCCCTAGTGGCTTCCTGACGGTATTACTCTGCATATGAAGTCCCTTGTTGACTTTTGGTCATAGCTGTTGCCCCTTCTCTTCACAGCAGACAGCTTTCCTCTCTCTCCTGCACACTGTTAAAGGAAGACACGTGCTTCCCAGCCTGGGATCTTCTGCATCCTGTTGCCTTTATGAGCAGAATAAGCTGTTCTCCATCCCTGATAGTGCTGGGCTCTCAGACACCAGCCCATCTCTAGGACTTCCCTGCTTTCCAGCCTTTTATCCTGGTCCGTGCTCCCTCCCTCAGTAAACAGACTCTAATGTCCAAGGCTGCTTGTGTAGGTTGTTTAGGGCCTGGTTCTGCTGGGTGCTGAATGTGAGATGTTGGATGCTGTGGAGTGCGGGAGGAACGGCTGGGAGCAGTGGTGCTCTGTGCTGGGGAGTGCCCTCAGCACCCTGTAGCATGTGCCCTCTGTGACTAGCAAGTTTGCAGACAGCCTCTGCACTGCTAGTGCCCAGCTCAGTGTTTTGACATACCTGAACTCTGAAAGGCACTGAATACTTTTAAAATACAACTGGACCATTCCCGTTTCTGCTCCCTGCTAGCGGTTTTCACTTTAAAGTCATTACTGTGCTATTTCATTCACCGACTAATCTCTGTGGTAGCTGTAGGCTTTTTTATTTTTTTTTTTAAATATCTCTGAGAAAGTAAGGCTAGTACATAGGGAAGATGGGGTTATTTGTAAGGCCCTTAACACTGTGGTAGAATGCTCTGTGGTACACATGGAGTGCTGCTTAGAGGTGATCTGAACATGTCCTTTTTCTTTGTTAAACCCTTTGCAATTGATTTTAAATATTTATTAGAAGTTTAAGAGGAAATAATGCATTCCCTCTGCCTTGTTCCTCATCATTTACAGCAGTAGGTCACAGAGCATTTCCCTACCCCCACTATTTACCATACGAAACGTTTATTTTAGGCGATTAAAAGGAAGAGTGGGGCAAAGGGTAAAACTCTCACAATCATTAGCCGGTTTGCACAAGAGAAAAACAAATATAGTTTGTAGCATAAAAACATGAATTTCCTCTTCAGCCAAACTTATTCCCTACATCTATTCTTCCCAAACTTACATCACTATCTGGTGTTTCAGTTACTGAAGTTTGTGTTTCCTGTCTTTTAAAATTGTCAATCCTGTTTATTAGAATGATTTGTACTCTAGGCGTTCCTAAAACCTGGAATCACATTTAGGGCCATATTGTGCAGAAACAAACATAGAAATGTACTTTCTTTCCCAAAGGTTGCATGGTCTAAATGGGTGACAAGGCAAAAAAATGGCTTTGGTAAACAGATGGTCATGTATGTGTGAAAAAAGCAATCAGCACAGAAACCATTTTAAATTTGGTAACTGTGTTAGGGTAGGCCTATGTGGGGATCTGTGTCTGGGGACACAGCTGGAGCCTCAAAATAGCTCTAGCCAATTTTTCTGTAATGAAGAGGCATTGCCTCAGAAACTTCATCTCTTTCAGGAGGTTAAGGTATCTCTTTGTGGCCTTGTGTGACTTGCCCTTTGGAGAATGGAATCTTGGGTTCCAACCCCTGGTTTGAAAAGCCTATTCTTGTTTGTATCCCATGTCTTAAAAATATTTAACATAGAAACAGCCCTAGAATCAGGGACTGAGAGGCATCCTGCCTGCTTTCCAGCTGAACGGCCCTGCCGCTGGGCTGTAGGGCTATAAGTCACTTTCTCTTTTGCTTATGTTCTCTGGACTTATTCCCTTTGCAGGGGCACAACTTCAGCAGCCTACTTCACAATGTGTTGTTGAGGATGTCACTTTGATAGCTGAGACACGTGGATTTGAGGCTGAGGACAAACTGAACCTGTGCTTTCTGAGAGAATTTTCTCACCTTTTGAATACTATCTAAAATAATCACCACCCCTCCTGTGGTTTTGGCCCAGAGTTGCTCTGGCTCCTGTGTTTTAGGCTGAAATTTGTGCTCTTAGTCTACACCAGGGTTTGCATCCTCAGCAACTCCATGCAGTTTCAATTGCTAGGAACTCTGATATAGCTGTATCCTACCTACTGCAAGAGGTTCATAAGCTCTCAGCAGACTCAGCTGGGTATGCACCTGAGATCTGAATCACCTTGTCCTTCTTGCCTTACATGCGTATCGATATCTGATTATAGCTCCTTACTCTTAACTTGGGCTCCCTGTCCTATCATATGTTTCGCTGGACAGCCTTTCTTGATTCCTAGTATAAATAAGACTGCTTGTTCTTAGGCTTATTCTACAGTTCCCAGAAGAGCTTGAAGCTTGGCAGGAGATATTTTGCCGAGACCTGTCAAGATGGTAGCAGCTTTGGCTATGTCCTTCAAAGTAACTTTACTCAGCTATACACCTAGGTGGAAATGAAGTGCCTATAGACATCCAGAGAGTGGCATGGACCTCCGTTTTGGACTAGGGAACTTAAAATTCACAGAAGTGTACCAGGAATCTCAAAGTATTAGAGTGGACACGACCAATACTGGAGCTAGGATAGGCAGTCCTTTAAAACTCACTTTCTTCCACTGACACAACTTAAAAAGGCTCTGGCCAGACCGGAGGAACACTGTATAAAGTGCAGTAGATTGGCCTGCGTTCGGTGAAATGGAAGTTTGAATAAGGACTGAGGACAAGTTGTTCATGTGGATAACATCTGATAGCTAGATGGGACATCACAGAGAATCTGGGGCCTGGTGCAGTGTGGGCTGCTGCATTAGGGACTGAGCACTGGCAGCTGATTTGTGACTTTCCTCCCTGAGGACAGGGGAGATCTCCTGTGCTTCATTAATATGGTATGGTGAATCTTTTCAAGAGAGAAACATTACTCATTTGCCTCATTTGCACAGTCTTGCATGCCAGCTCAGATGCAGCTGGAAGAAGCAGCTTGTTATTTTTGTGCCATAACTGTTGTGTTAAAAGAAATGACATGGGAAGTGATTAGGTTGTAAGGAAAGATAAGGGTATTAAAATGTAAAGAGAGCTTAAACAGTGAACAGGTCCATGAGATTGTACATTTTTGTATTCTAGATCTGTGAAGAAGTTTTTTCCTCCTGTTGGCATAATGATGTCATCACGGGCTCCCCAACTTTTGGAAACGCAATTACTGAAGTCCTGATTTTGGAATTCAAAGGCTCATTGCTCTTATGCCTCAAGGACTTTTTAAGGGATTAGTAGAAAAGCATCATGCAGAGAACTTGTTTGACTTGATTGCATGTTTGCTGAAAGGGAAACACATGGCAATTGCTGTATGTCATAGATGTCAGAGTTCCGTTTTCTTTCATGTTTCTTTTAGAGTATGAAGTAGCTTATGAAGATGTTGCAGTAAAAATAAAAAAACCATAATTTGGAAATTCCGTTCCATGTTCACATCATTTCAGTGTATCTTTTAAAAACTTTTATTTGTTCCTAATCATTTGCAAAATATTTGAATACTCCAACGTACTACTTTGTTCCCTACCTTCTTATATAGTTCCCATTCTGTAGCATCACAAAAGACTGCTTCTTGTTTTTTGCTAGAAATACGTGTACTTTGAGTTCTGTTAGCTAATGCCTGTCCTCCTCCCTTCCTGATCTGCTCTATCTATTTTCCCCATCGTATCAACCAGAGACTCAAACAATCTGAACTGTTGCATCTTGCTTCAGTGATATTCTGTAATGGGATTTCCTCCTCTTCAATGACCACCCCTGAGCATCCTGAAAACCATAACCCTTTTGCACTGGGTGTATACACGTTCTGTGTGCCTACATGAGAAATAATCATCTGCTCTAGGTTTGGCCTTTTCCAGTTCTCACTGAAATCAGTGGAGACCTTTCAGTTTACTTCAGAAGAAACTCGATGAGTCCCTCCATTGACTACATTATGACTAGCTGTCTGTTTCACTGGAAGCACTGGGGATTTTGTCTGTCTCTTATTGTTCTATACTTTTTTCCCCCTCCTAACAGCTGAACCATTTCTTTTGGCATGAAAACTACATACAGTTCAAAACCTGGTGCATTTTCTCCAGTTGGTCTGTAAGAGTTATCTTTAAAGTATTAAAGAAATGGCAAATATAAAAGGTCTTATGGTAGCTTTCTTATAGAAAGCTTTTAGTTTTGTGTGCAGGGTTAGCTGGAGAAGTGAGATTTCAACCTCTATTGAAGACGAAGTAAAAAAAGAAGGACTTAAAAACTTCAGACGGCTCAGTAAATTTAGGTCACAAAGAGCACAGAGAGAGGAACAATCATGCTGCTTGTTCCATCAATATATTAAACGCTTTGGTAAAGTATGTGAGTGCTCAATATATTAAACGCTTTGGTAAAGTATGTGAGTGCTGAGAAAATTCAGCAGGTACTGCTGAGAGGTCAAAGACATCTGTTAAAGATAGCAATAGTTCAAAGATGCTGCTGTCTCTGGTAAAAGATATGTTAGAAATTATAGCTGAATTTCAGAAAGGCAGATACTGAGGTCAGAAAGAGTATGAAGTTCTGTGTCCAGCCCTTGACAGATTTACTTTTGGCTATGACCCTCGTTGCCTGTGTGAGATGGTGCTGAGCAAACTCTGATAAACTGGAGTGCATAGTGAGGCATAGCCAGGGGACCTCTGTCTCTACATGTGACTGAAACGTGAAACAGTACTAACATGAGGTGCTCCGCAGAAAATCAGGATATCACTGGTCACTCAGGTCACTGGTTTAAATGAGTGCAGCAGTCCCTAAGATCCTGTAGCAATGCAGGATCAACATAGCAATGTGAATATAAAGTAGATCCTCACCTGTTTCTTTTCTAACCACCACGGTGTGCCTTAGTTTCCTCACCCTCACCAGAGAGTATCAGTGGAATGCAAATAAGGACAGAATCTGACTTTCAGAATATTTATTCCTCCAGGGGCTGAATGAACCAGAAACTGCACAGCTCGATTTTCTTTGCAGCACTGACAGGAAAAGAAACAAATTTTTTACTTGAATTTCATATGTCAGCACAACTGCCTGTTAAGCTGCTTTTTGCTCTCTTCTGGTTCAGAAGTCACTTTTCCTTAGACTTCCATTTTCAGAGTTCAGAGTAGCTGAAGACTGTGTGCTTGTTTAAATATTGAAATATTTTCATGACTTGGGTTATTTCTCAACTAAATACATGTATTTTTTCTCTCTTTTATGGCCTTCTGGAATAATTTCATTTTTATTGTATCAATTTTATGGAAGCTGTTGTCAATCAGAAATTCTTTTTGAGATATTAGAAAAACGGAAAAGATGCGGCAGTCCGTGCAAAGACTATGTTCTACTGCCACAGGACAAAGTCTGTGAGGAAAAATGCACAAGCCGGACTGGTTCCCAGCAATATTATGTGATTACACTATGTAACTGCCACTAG